TAATTTTGCCGAGACGTTGGTTTTAGAAGAAAACAGAACGTGATTTATATGTATAAATTATATATATAACTTTATTTATTTCATAAAACTTATGATTAACAAAGTTTAATTAAAATTCATTGGAAACATTTCTAATAATAAATAAAAAAATTATGTTGATGCCAAAATTTCCCACTTCTCCATATACTACTTGTTAAAAGAATCTTAGCAAAACCCGTGTGACTTCTTAAGCCCCTCTTCTGTTATAAAAAAAATAAACAAAACGTTTCCTCCGTGCTGTAAAAAACTATTTGACCGAATAAGCCAGGTTAAAAAAATATACATATAAGACAGGAAAGGAATTTTACACTACGTTTGACTCAAAGAACCAGATTTGTGACACAATGTGCCAGATGACCAATAGGCCAGTGTACTTGTTTCAAGAAAAGTAAAATTTCAAGTTTGGTAAAATTTACCAGAAGGCCCAATGAGCCAGAGTACTTGCTCTTTCACTTGTCGCAAACCAAGTCCTCGATTATATAAAATGTGCCTCCTTTTATATTGAGCATACCGAAGCTTTTTGGTGTAGCGTACCGGTATTCTTTGCTGTACTTGACTTCGCCGTGAAGTTGAACTTTGTGTTCTACTGTTTTCTCACTTCTTCTGCTTCGCCGTGATTTTTAGTACTTTTACTACGCGCCGTGTTTATTTATTTCGTGTGTTATTCCTCTTTAGTTTATATTTTATTATTAAAAAAATAAAGTGTATTAATAATACAAAACTAGGTATTAAATATACATATATATTTTATGAATTTAATATTATCTAAATGTGAAAAGAAAAGAAATAAATTAGTAAATAGAAAAAAACTAGCGTTGATGTGCTTAGTTGCTGCTGAAGTTTGTTTTGTTTTCGTGTATAAAAATAAAATTGTACAAACATGGGTGTTAAATTGTTTTGTGTATTATTTTATTTATATATATTTCAAATAGATCTTTGTTCAATAATTAAACGTGTTTTCTGTGATAAGTGTTACATTGTTTTGTGTTTTGTTTTATTTCTATATAATTGTAGACAAATAGACATTTGTTTAAAATTTACACATGTTTCGCCGATAATTGTTCATTGTTGTTGCGTTTATAAGTGTTCCATTCATAAAAGTTTTAACCAAACGTTAATTTTGTTTTTCGTATATTTTTAGAATTTGCACATTTCATGTAGCGATGCCCGCGGTGCATTGGCATCGAGGATCACAGGTAATGTCCATGACATTTCAAATAAATATTTTTAATTCAATTTTTATATTTTCCAGTTAAGTCGCATTCAGTTATTTTCATGTGAGTTGTTCGATATATTATGTGTAGTGGTGGCGGTTAATTAACACACAGACTGTGTTTTTCTCTGCTTCTTGTTTTATGTAGCACAGAAATTTACTTTGTAAATTTGTGTCGTTACATTTCCCTCCTTCTTCAGAACAGAATTTAAACTAAAACTTTATTTTAATGACACGTTGATGACCCCTCTTCGGCTAATTTGCACTTGATATTTCTTATTTTCTACACACCGTATGAAATTGAGACGCCTTCCTACTCTTCACGGTCTGAGTCTTCGTAGTACAATTTGATATCGCTGACGTGTGCTGTTTTCTTGATTTTAGCGGTCTTGTCCTCAACTATCACGATTACTGGCGATTGGAAACCTTTCACTTTGTATGGTCCACTGAATTTTGGACTTAGTTTCGCGGCAATGTGATCAACCGCGTTAGATAAAATGTGGGTTTTTACCAGGACTTGGTCTCCGACTTGCGGTTTCCAGTCTCTACGGCGGAGATTATAATGCCTTGCTTGTTCGATAGAAGCGTACTGCCTATTTTGTCTTACTGCTTTCATAATTCCTTGTAATCTCTGAGCTTTATCCATAGGAGTGATGGGAACGTCTCCGGTACCTGGAGTGACCTTGTCGAATTGATTAGCTGGCATTCGTGGCTCTCGTCCGAAATTCAAAAAAGCGGCTGAGAATCCCGTGGATTCGGCTACACTTGAGTTTATTGCCAGTGTAATCTCTGGTAAATATGCATCCCAATTCCTGTGGTCACCTTCCGTAAGTTGACTGATAAGAGTCTTAACCGTCCTATTAGTTCTTTCGGTTGGATTTTCGTAGGGGGCGTATGGTGCGGTAAATTGTTGTGTTACACCCAAATCCGAAAAGAAAGTTCTAGCAGCCCGGCTGGTAAACTGGGTCCCATTATCCGATATTAATACTTTTGGCACACCGAAACGTGCAAGGATACGCTCTCTGAAAGCCTTTTGAAGTGCAATCGTGGTCGCCTTCCGTAGGGGTACCAATTCCACCCACTTTGTAAATTTGTCCACAAAGACCAAGAGCATGCTGTTCCCATGTTTGGACCTAGGCAGTGGTCCGACAAAGTCCGTGCAGATGGTGCACCATGGTTCTTCTACTAATCGTGTTAGCATGAGTCCCGCAGCAGCCTGTTGGTTTGGTTTAAATCGCTGACACGAATCGCAGCCCCGTACATATTTGCTAATGTCGCGAAACATACCTGGCCAAAAATACGAATTTGCTATTCTTTGCTTAGTTTTTCTTACCCCGAAATGCCCTGCTGTAGGTACGTTGTGATTCTCCTGTAGTATCTGTTGTTTCAGAGCTGCTGGCACACATAATTTCCATGGTTTATTTCCCTCGTCTGCATCGTGGTTGGGTATATGCCTATACAGTTGGTCATTTTCTATGATGTAATCTGCAAATTTTTTTGGATACAACTTAACCTCTTTTTTCCGTTTATGAACCCAGTCTTGTTCAGTACACACGCCATTGTTGATTTTTATCCTTCTAACTGAAATTTCCTCCGGTTGTCGTGATAACGCGTCTGCCACCACATTATATTTACCTTTCCGGTATTGTACTTCGAAATTGTACTGTTGTAACTCTAGAGCCCAGCGTGCGATTCGACCAGACGGATTATCGATTGAATTTAATCATTTTAATGACAAATGATCTGTTACCACAGTAAATCTGTACCCTTCTAAATACGGCCGCATTTTGCGTATACCCCAAACGATTGCGAGACACTCCTTTTCAGTAGGGGAGTAATTCGATTCGGCTTTATCCAGTCGTCGACTAGCATAGGCAATCACCTTTTCTCCATCCTCAAATTGTTGCGTGAGGATTGCCCCAAGACCATAATCACTGGCGTCTGTCTGCAAACAAAAAGGTTTGCTAAAATCCGGACATTGAAGTACTGGGGCTTCTGTTAACTGTTTCTTTAAGTTCTCGAACGCGGTTTGTTGTTCTGCTTGCCACTTCCAATGTTTTCCTTTTCGGAGCAGTTGAGTCAGCGGGTGAACGATTGTTGAAAAATTTTTCACAAATCGACGGTACCATGACGTCATTCCCAAAAATCGTCTTAATTCCCTCACAGTCGTTGGGGGTTTCAGATTTTGAACAGCTGAGACTTTCTCCGGGTCGGTATGGATACCTTTATCACTAACAACGTGTCCAAGGTATTTCAAGGTTGACTTGAAAAACTCGCATTTTTCTGCATTTATCCTTAAATTGGCTTCTCGTAGTCGTTTAAACACGATTTCGAGATGTTGGAAATGTTCTTCATGACTACGACTAATGACGATTATATCATCTAAGTAGGCGAATGCAAAAGGCTCCATTTCTGGCCCAATGACTGAATCCAATGCACGCTGAAATTGTAACGACACTTTTGGTGACGTTCAAAAATTTTTAGTTTTTGCTGGGGTATCCTCAGCCGTCGTCCAGAGTCGTGACAATATATTTATAATTTTGCCGAGACGTTGGTTTTAGAAGAAAACAGAACGTGATTTATATGTATAAATTATATATATAACTTTATTATTTCATAAACTTATGATTAACAAAGTTTAATTAAAATTCATTGGAAACATTTCTAATAATAAAATAAAAAAAAAATTATGTTGATGCCAAAATTTCCCACTTCTCCATATACTCCTTGTTAAAAGAATCTTAGCAAAACCCGTGTGACTTCTTAAGCCCCTCTTCTGTTGATAAAAAAATAAACAAAACGTTTCCTCCGTGCTGTAAAAAACTATTTGACCGAATAAGCCAGGTTAAAAAAAATACATATAAGACAGGAAAGGAATTTTACACTACGTTTGACTCAAAGAACCAGATTTGTGGCACAATGTGCCAGATGACCAATAGGCCAGTGTACTTGTTTCAAGAAAAGTAAAATTTCAAGTTTGGTAAAATTTACCAGAAGGCCCAATGAGCCAGAGTACTTGCTCTTTCACTTGTCGCAAACCAAGTCCCCGATTATACGAAATGCGCCTCCTTTTATATTGAGCATACCGAAGCTTTTTGGTGTAGCGTACCGGTATTCTTTGCTGTACTTGACTTCGCCGTGAAGTTGAACTTTGTGTTCTACTGTTTTCTCACTTCTTCTGCTTCGCCGTGATTTTTAGTACTTTTACTACGCGCCGTGTTTATTTATTTCGTGTGTTATTCCTCTTTAGTTTATATTTTATTATTAAAAAAAATAAAGTGTATTAATAATACAAAACTAGGTATTAAATATACATATATATTTTGTGAATTTAATATTATCTAAATGTGAAAAGAAAAGAAATAAATTAGTAAATAGAAAAAACTAGCGTTGATGTGCTTAGTTGCTGCCGAAGTTTGTTTTGTTTACGTGTATAAAAATAAAATTGTACAAACATGAGTGTTAAATTGTTTTGTGTATTATTTTATTTATATATATTTCAAATAGATATTTGTTCAATAATTAAACGTGTTTTCTGTGATAAGTGTTCAGTGTTGTTGTGTTTAGAATTTCTTTACAAGTTTTGTTTTCATTCATAAAATTTGTAACAAACAAATTAAATTTTTTTCGTAATTTTTTTTTTTTAGATCTGATTGTCTTTGTTGTTAATTGAGAGTGAGATGCAATTCCCGCAAAAGTTTGGTGTGCAATTGGTTTTAAAGTTGATTAATATTAAAACGTAAACAAAATGGAAATTTGTAAAATTGCGCGAATAACATTCCAAGATAAGGAGATACAATATGCGGGAGAATGGTTTAAAATATTGGATTGCATGTTACCAAACAAAAACCATGTTTGTGATATAGTTCAGATTATTGAGGAAACAAAGATGCTTCCGTTTGACTTAAAGTTCGTGAAAGACGAAGATGACACAACTAGTTTAATGTTGTGTTATACTGGCCCGTCTCGTTCAATGAAACAGGATGCAACTGTGTTTAACAAAATACTGCCAATTGTATTTAAAAATTATGAAGATCCTTTATCTGCCACTATAAAACAAGCTGTGATACAGGCAAATGTCTATGATGAAGAAAATAAGAATTCACTTTTAAAAAAATATGTTACAACGAAATTATATGATTTGCTTTATAAGCAACATGAGCGCTGTGCTAGTGATTGGGAGTCCATACCCTTCACTTTACCAGACAGTTTTCAATCAAAGCTTTGTAATTATCAAGAAAAAACTGTTGGTTGGTTATTGGAAAAAGAACGAGTAATTTCAGTAGCGCCGTCATTTTATAAAAAGTTAATTGCAATTGACGGCATGCACATTATTTATAAACATAAATATTGCAGCTATTTGATGTCTGAAGAATCATCTCCTATAGTTGTACCAATGGGAGGAATCTTAGCAGACGAAATGGGTTTAGGAAAAACAGTTGAAATTTTAGCTCTTATACTGCTTAATCCCCGACAAGAATTTACTATACCTCAGAATATAGATGATGATACACTTTCGTCCGATGATGAAATACTTGCGAATTATGGGAAGCGTGCGCGATATAAATCTGAATTGCTTTGTGTTTGTGTTTCAAAAAAAACTAAAAACCTAATAAGGTGCACAAAATGTTTTAAATCACAACACAGGAAATGCGTGTCCACATATGATGAGGACCATAGTGCCAATGTAAATGAACCATATATGTGCCCCGCTTGCTGGCAGCAGGAAACCAAAACTAATTTGATTGAATCGGGTGCAACTGTTATAGTTTCACCAACCACGATAAAAATGCAATGGTATGCTGAAATAAAGAAACATATACAGCCTTCATTACGAGTGCTTGTATATAAAGGGATTTCATCTGGTTCTTGGATATCCCCACGTCAGATGGCAAACTACGACATTGTCCTGACAGATTATAATGTTTTAAGAAGCGAAGTGTATCATACATCAGAATATGAAACGCAGCGCGTAACTCGAAATAAACGTGTTTCATTAAGACTGTCAACACCTTTATTAATGGTACAATGGTGGCGTGTATGTTTGGATGAAGCACAAATGGTTGAATCTAACCAATCGAAGATTGCTGCTTTGGCTCGCATATTACCAGCAATTAATCGCTGGGCCGTAAGCGGAACTCCTATACAACGTTCTATCGATGATATTTGTTCCTTATTGCAGTTTATAGGGTTCAAAGAACTATGTGAACCTGTTGATATTTGGAATAATTTAGTGCATAATTTTGTGATCTCATTTGAAGAGTCAGAAAAAGTGCTTGAACTTGTCAAAGTTCTTCAGTTGTGCATGTGGCGGACTTGTAAATCGAATGTAGAGAAAGAAATTAACATACCAGAACAAACAGAGACGATCCATCGTATAGATTTAGATAACCTAGAAAAATTGTTTTATACAGAACAACATTCCGAATGTAAAAATAACTTTGATCACAACGTTTACAAATACATCAATAGCAATGCGTGTGTCCTAACAATTTCACCACAGATCTTGACACAAATCTTAAAACCTCTCCTGAAAATACGACAAAGTTGCATTATTCCAGTGGTTATTGGTAACAAACCTAAAACTAGTGGCCAAACATTACAAAAGCAGTTTATGAATCCTAATGAATTACATTCTCATTTAAAGACAACGAATGAAAATGATTGCAAAGCTCAACTGCGTACGATGGCATCGTCTTACAATGGCATGGCTGCAATTAATTTTATAAGAGGAGATTATAAGGAAGCTATACGATTTTATAATGCTGTACTTAAGCTGGCACGTGATTATAATGAAAAACCCATTTACGTTGACAGTCTTCTACAAATTCATGCTTTGCATAACATGTTGCAAGCTATGGATTGCTCAGGAACTCGTACTACAATTGTTGAAGATTATGAGGCTGAAAAAAATGCATTAGAGTGGAAATATATTCAGCAATATGTGAGTGTAATGTGAACTGTCGAACTTGATTATGAAAGTAGCAAAGAAGCATATGAAAATTTGCTACGAGAATTGGATATGCCACTTTTGAATTTCTTAAGTACCCTCTCTGAGTTAGTGTTGAGGGAACAAGATCAATTGCATGAGCCGTTAATGCATAAAATATTTGATGAATGTCAAATTTCATTTCCAAAGAAGGTACATGCAATCGAATCTGTCAGAAGTTTACTGTACACTGTAAGTATATGGATGGAAAAAGTAAATAAGCTACAAAAAAAGTTATATAAAGAATTTGAGAGTATAAAATTTTTTACTAATAATGTCCGGGAACGCAAAAATATTGATGAAGATATGTGGTGCAGAATGTTGCAGTTTATCAGCACTGTTAGTGACTGCCATCTGTATAGAATACGTAAAAAAAATAATGAGGACGATGAAGAGCAAACCAAAAATAGAGAGATGAATTTCAAAAGTGGCGCCCGAGCAGGGACCCTGAGACCAGCACTTCACGATTCGAATAGCAACTGTTTTAACATCAATAACGAGGTGAAATATACATAACTAACATGGGAAGAACGTGGATCCGATATTTACGAAAAGACGATTTGGTTGGATATCTAGAAGAGTTTGGCCTGGATACAACTGGTACAGTCGAAGACTTGCGAAAGCGATTAACCAACTTCGTAGCACAGGGAGAACATGCACCGATAGTAGTTATTCGGTTGAATGAATTAGAAAGCAAACATTGCAAGAGCTCTAGTGAAGAATTAAATATGGATAAAAATGCTGAAGAAACCAAGACAACAGTTTTAGCATCACCAAGGCAAGATCCTGCATATACTTTATACGTGCCTCATAGTCAACAGCCTGCGGCAGCACATCAAACGTTCGATAGGAGAAGCGACATAGAATATACACAGAACAGAGATTACGTCGAAGGTTCAGAGCGACATATCATAGTCAATGAAGCGTCGGCAAGACAATTACATTCACATCCACAATATGACTTACACTCGTATCTTCCACAGAGGAACACACAGGCAAGCGTCATTGACCAGGTCAGAAAATGGGCGATCCGGTACGATGACAACGGCGACCCCTTGGCGTTCATAGAGCGAGTGGAGGAATTAGCGGACGTTTATGCAATACCAATGAACATGTTGCCCCGTACAATGCCGGAGTTACTCAAAGGAAACGCACTGGTATGGTTTAGACATAATAAAAGAGATTGGATTCACTGGGAAGCGTTTAAAATGGATTTCTTGAAGTTTTTCCTGCCACATCGGTATTTTGAGCGGTTGGAGGACGAACTAAGGAATAGACTGCAGAAACCGGGAGAGCCGTTTAAGAAGTATGTGCTGGAACTACAGAAATTAATGAGACATCTAAAACTAAATGAAGACGAGAAACTTGAACGATTTTACAGAAACAGTTTGGTTGAATACAAAATGTATGTCAAACGCAGGGAGTTTAACACCTTGGACGAGCTCATTGTGTTAACTAGCGATTTTGAATCCTTGAGAAATGAACAGAAAAATCTTAAACCAAAAGAAACACCGATGCTGATTGAACGACGAGTCAAACCTATGACAATTGCTGCCATCGAGCCTATAAATCTAACAACGGCATGCTTTCGATGTGGTCAATCTGGACATCAGGCGCGTATGTGTCGAAATCCACGAGTTTTATTCTGTTGGCAGTGTGGGAGACGTGGAGTGCGAACTATTGACTGCTGTCGTAAACAATCGGGAAACGCGCAAAGGTCGCGTCTTCCAGAAAGGCGAGACGTGGCCGTAAATCCAGCACCAGCACAACACCCTTTATAATTGAACATAATCGCCTCTTTGCACAAATAAGTATCCACGGTCGAGCACTCACAGCCATGATTGACACAGGTGCAAGTAAAAGCTTTGTTCGTCCGAACGTAGTACCATGTATTACAGGTAACATCACGGACGTGAACGTAGTAGTCCGGCTCGCGGATGGCTCACCACGGCATGTGAATAACATCATTGATACATGCTTGCAAATGGGAAGAGATGAATACCAGGTGAGTTTGTTAGTATTGGATGGAATGGTTCATGATATTGTTTTGGGGATGGACTTTTTGAATACAGCATCAAGTACGTTTTGTATAGGGGAAAATGTTGTCAAATTTGGTCAAGGCTCAAAGACCAATTTGAGTCCAGTATCATTAAATTCCACCTTTGACGAGGAGCAATGTATACAGAAGTTCCTAGAAACCGAGTTAGCTGAATTCGAAACATTGGAAGGACTTTCGGACATTGCATCGCATTCAATCACAATGAAGGACGATCGCCCCATCAAACAGAGGTACTATCCGAGAAACCCGGCGATGCAAAAAGTGTTGGATAATGAAATAGACGAACTACTCAAACAAGGTTGTATTGAACGGTCACATAGCCCATACAGTTCTCCAGTCGTTTTAGTAAAAAAAAAGGACGGAAGTTGGCGGCTGTGCATCGATTACCGACAGGTCAATGCTCGTTCAATCCCGGATGCCTATCCCATCCCACGTATTCAACACATATTGGACCAACTCCGCGATGCCAAATATATTAGCAGTCTGGACTTAAAAAGCGGGTACTGGCAAATTCCTATGGCACAAGACAGTAAACAATACACTGCGTTCACAGTTCCTGGACGGGGGTTGTTTCAATGGCGGGTGATGCCTTTTGGATTACATTCGGCCCCGGCAACATTTCAGAGAGCCCTTGATAGTGTTATTGGCCCCGACATGGAACCTCATGCGTTTGCTTACTTAGATGACATAATAGTGATTGGACGCACATTGGAAGAACACACGGCAAACCTAAAAAAAGTTCTTCAACGATTGAAGGCAGCGAAGTTGAAATTAAATGTAAAAAAATGTCAATTTTTCACCAAGGAAATCAAGTACTTAGGACACTTAGTAACACCTCAGGGCATTCACACCGATCCGGAAAAGATAGCTGCAATCAAAGGCCTTACACCTCCGTGTAACCTCAAGGAATTACGAAGATGCATTGGTATCGCTTCGTGGTATCGCCGGTTTGTACCGCAGTTCTCCAATATTATTCAACCACTAACGTTGTTACTGAAAAAGGGTAAGCGTTGGCAGTGGACAGAAGTACAACAAGCGGCATTTGATAAACTGAAAGAGAAACTAACGAGTGCTCCCGTCTTAGCATGTCCGAATTTCAACGAACAGTTCGTATTACAAACCGATGCCAGCGACTTTGGGCTAGGAGCGATATTAACGCAGACAATATCAGGAGAGGAAAAGGTTATTGCATACGCAAGTCGTACTCTAAATCCTGCAGAGAAGAACTACACAACCACTGAGAAAGAATGTCTGGCAATAGTCTGGGGCGTACGTAAGATGAAGCAATATTTAGAGGGATACCACTTTGTAGTTATCACTGATCATCTGGCATTAAAATGGCTAAATAGCATTGATAATCCTTCGGGTAGAATTGCGAGGTGGGCTTTAGAACTGCAACAATATCACTTTGAAATACAATATCGAAAGGGAAAATATAACGTAATTGCTGATGCGCTGTCCCGACAACCACAACCCATATTAGCTCACCTAGATGCGAATGATGAAAGTGATCGTGACTGTGGATGGCTACTAAGTTTGAAGAAAAAGGTGCAAGAAAATCCTGCGAAATACCCTGATTACATCATTGAAGGTGAGCAGTTATATCGTCGGATCCCAAACAGTTTGAGTAACGAAGGCCAACCGTGCTGGAAACTGTGCGTACCACGCGATTTGCGTCTTCGAGTTTTGAATGAATGTCATGATAGTGTCACAGCGGGGCATTTAGGTAATCAGAAGACCATTGTTCGTGTTGCGGCTAACTATTATTGGCCGGGGATGTATCGCGATATAAGAGATTACGTAAAAAAATGCGATACCTGTCAAAAGTACAAAGTTTCACAACAAATGAGTGCTGGGAAGATGCTAACCACTATTCCAGAAGAACCATGGGCGACAGTGTGTGCAGATTTCATCGGTCCTATGCCACGATCTGTTAAGGGAAATACGATGGCACTTGTGTTTTTCGACAAATTTTCAAAATGGGTAGAAATTGTTCCAATGAGGAATGCCACAGCGTTAGGAGTAAGACGTGCCTTTCGTGAACATATTATGTCTCGATTCGGAGTACCAAAAATTCTAGTCACCGACAATGGAACACAGTTCACAAGCAAAGTATTGAAGCAATTTCTGGAGGAACTGGGTGTTCAACATCAACAGACTGCACCTTATTCACCGCAAGGCAATCCCACTGAACGAGCCAATAGGACGATAAAAACAATGATCGCTCAGAATTCAAAGTTGGACCATCGACGCTGGGATGAGTATATACCAGAAATTACGCTGGCCATAAATTCTTCCGTTTCGGCCTCAACCGGTTATACTCCTGCGTTCGTTACCCAAGGGCGAGAGCTACGTATGCCGAATACATTATACGACTCTGTTACGACTGGCCCAGGTAGGCCAATGGAAACCCCAGAGGAAAAGGCGCGTAAACTATTAGATGTATATGCCATAGTGAAGGGGAACATGGGGAAAGCGGCTCAAGATCAGGCGCGTCACTACAATTTACGTCATCGGGAGTGGCAGCCAAAGTGTGGTTCTCTAGTACTAAACAAAACACAACCATTGTCCAACGCACTCGAAGCCTTTAATGCAAAACTAGCACCAAAGTTTCCGGGGCCATATGAAGTCATAGATTTCCTGTCACCAGTCATTGTCAAATTGCGTAATCTAGACACCGATAGTTTGTTGACGGCCCATATTAGTCGTATTAAACCATACTATAATTAGTGGTTTTAAAGAAAACAAAGGTAATTCCATACTAATAAATTTTACTTTAATAGGTTCAAAAGACGTATTAGCATGGCAAGAACGGTTGGGCGCGAAAACATGATGTTGAAGAAATCAAATGCGAATATACACCGGTCATGGAAACAGAAGGCAGATCTAGATGAGACTTTACGACGACGGC